AGTCTGATGCACCGCTTCACAGCCGACGAGTATAAGCCAAACATGGGTAACATTGGCACGTCCTTTTTGTGTCATAATCTTGAGGTGGGTGGCAAGAACTTCGTAATGGCGCTCTACGGCTTGAGTGGCTTGAAGAGCTACCTGTCTCTCAACACGGCGCTCTACCGCGGGGCGCAGGGGGCGATGCTGGTCTACGACATCACCAACCGCGAGTCGTTCGAGACGGCCAAGTTCTTTCTCTGGCATCTGCGCGAGCATCACGATGGCGCCGTCGTGATGCTGCTCGGGGAAAAGAGCGACCTGGAGGTCAGGCGAGCGGTCGCCACGGCCGAGGCCGAGGCCTTCAGCCAGGAGGAGGACCTCTACTTCATGGAGGCTTCGGCTCTGGAGTCTACGAACGTGCAGGAGGCCTTCCTGAAGCTCTTGTCGGTGATGATTGCGAAGGCCGAGCGCGAGGACCCCTCCATCATGGCTGCACCTCCGACCGTAGAGCCTGGAAAACGCCCAGGCAAGAAGGGGTGCCAGGTCTGTTGAGGTTTAATCTCTGAACCCCACTGCCACTCCCTATCTCACTTCTACTACTCCCCATCTCCGTCATCAACTCACTCACCCACCATTGGTGTATCCATCAACTCCATCACAACTGGTATAACCATCAACTCACCCACTCACTACTGGTGTAAGTGTCGCGTCATCGACAGGCATTGTGTATAGCGTCTTGTTATATATACTTACCTGTAGTAGCAGACGCGTGTCCATAGGGGGTGGTAACCCGGGATGGGTAGGATGAGCCGGGCAGTTGGGACACGAGGCTCTCCCAGCCCCAAGAGAGGGGTTGGGGGGGGGGGGTATTCCAGAGCCCCCGAGAGAGTTCCAGAAGGAGGGCGTGGCCAGGGGCGGAGAGACCCTGGCACGACTATAAAAGGCGGACCTCGGGACGAGTCCGGTAGTCTTTGTCAAGCTGAAGAAGAAGACCGGCTAGGCTAGGACCCTGGGAACCCCGGGACCCGAGGTCCTTGTAAGGGCCGGGGCTGTAGTGGGCCGGTGGTCGGGACCCGAAGACCTTGGCTGGGTCGGGTCAGAGAGCCTCCCCCTAGGTCCCCTTAGCCGGAGGAACGGGAGTGTAGTCCCAGTGATTAGGGCACGCTAGCCCCGAGGCTGTACCTCCCCAGGTATCGGGTAGAGGGGCCGCTACCCCTCTGTGTTAGGGACCCGTGTATCTCACACGTAGCTAATAAACGTGTTGCCTCAAGCGCTCCGTCTCCGGTCTCCTTGGACCCACTACATGAGCATCAACCGCATCAGAACTTAACAAGGCCAATGCGCACATCACTTTCATGAATGCAAATTTTAAGACACAGCCAGAGAAATGTTATTGTGGCCATGCAACTAAACTATGGACTGTATATTAAACTCATAGACACGAGATAGATGCCCATAGAGATACATAGTGACCCATTGCGACCGGCAGTGACCAATAAAGACCCATAGTGACCCATGGAGACCCATAGAGACCCATAGTGACCCATAGAGACCCATAGTGACCCATAGAGACCCATAGTGACCCATAGAGACCCATAGTGACCCATAGAGACCCATAGTGACCCATAGAGACCCATAGTGACCCATAGAGACCCGTAGAGACCCGTAGAGACCCGTAGAGACCCGTAGAGACCCGTAGAGACCCATAGTGACCCATAGAGACCCATAGTGACCCATAGAGACCCATAGTGACCCATAGAGACCCATAGTGACCCATAGAGACCCATAGTGACCCATAGTGACCCATAGTGACCCATAGAGACCCGTAGAGACCCGTAGAGACCCGTAGAGACCCATAGTGACCCATAGTGACCCATAGAGACCCGTAGTGACCCATAGAGACCCGTAGAGATAGTTGTGGTGCCACGACCGCGGGGCAACTCGGCAAGCGCCGCGATTGTCCACTACCCCAACTCTGAGCACACGCAGCAGCACTTGCACCACGTGGTGTCCTGGCGGGGGATTGCTGGGCACGTTGGGTTTTAATCCCAAGGGCCCCTAGAGGTTTCCCGGTGCCAGGTGCTGCTCCATCAACCCATGAAGACATCACAAAATCAAAACGCGAGTACATCATGAAGACATGGGTTTAGAGTGGACAGATATCGATAGTCACCACTGAGACAGTTGAAGCACTGAAGCCAGACATCACCAGTTGATATCAACATGGACATCAATACGGGAGGCGTCATTGACACAGCGAGCCCGTTGTATTCAAGGACCAGAGCTCCCACGTGCCCAAGTTGATAGCCAAACAAGGTTGCACTGTTATTAAAATACTCTTGTAATGGAAAACAACGCTGTTCTACATTGGAGCGCATGCAGTGAATGGGCTCTGTGGATGAGAGCCCATTCAATGGATAGAGATGGGGTGAAGGGTAGGTTTAAGGCCTCCGAGTCACTGCAGCATTACTTTCTAAACATGGGTATCTAAAATAAAGTGCACACCTGTTACTCAGAGCTTTTGAGGCACGGGTGGTGGGTAAAGCAGCTCATAAGTGTGTGGTAGCCATCGACCAGCAGGCCAACCAGTTGATCTACAGAGCCCAGTACAGTAATCATCTTCCTCAACTAAATGTGGAATTTTGATTTAAAGCTTTTGTAACTGCAGTAATTCATATTCTTAGCTCTTTCGGTAAAGTCACGCTGAAGGGAAACAATAAAAAAATAAAATATATATAAAACAATAAAAATTCTCACGACGTTTCGACCATAACACAAAAGGTCGTCATCAGGTGAGTCGGTTTGCATTATTGTTTTATATATTTTATTATTTTATTGTTTCCCTTCAACGTGGCTTTACCGAAAGAGCAAAGAATATAAATGTGGAATTATTTAGTGGTATATTTGACTGTCTGATGTAAGTAGATATTTGTCAGGCACTCCGAGGCTCAACATCTTTCCTGATCACACAGCTGTTATTATCAACAAATAATTTGGCCACATGTCACCTGGCTAGATAAAGAACATCAGTGGGTCAATATTAGGTCGGCAGAACATTCCAGTCAAATAAAGTGGTAAAGGCATAAAAGCATCAATGATTAAAATCAAGTGATCAATACATAATCGGTGAATATGCCCAATAAAGCCTCGCTGACTTTATCGACTTTTTTAGAAGCTTCCCACATTCGGATGTTTGTTTTGCTGTGGAACAAACCTAAAGTATTCGATAGAAGCCGAGCCCCATTGTGGCAATCCTTTAACCTGGTCACCTCGCCGGCTTGTGGGATGGATATTGTCACACACCCACCAACCCTTGATTCCAAAGCGCTGAACTAAGAGGAGTGTGCACCACCAAGCTCAAAAATCGAATGTGATCCGTTTTTGTTTGTTGAAATTAAGCAAATGATGTTGGCTGAGGAAATTATCTGAGGCGGGATGTTGAGTCCTCGATGGATTCGTGCACGAGAGCCGGAAACCGTCTCGCGTCCAGAGGACTCAAGAGACCGCTTCGTATTTCCACCAATAGCTGGTGGATGGAGTCGACGCGTTTGTCTGGAAAGTGATGACTCGCAAACCGCGTGGTTAAATATTGTACGTATAAGCATGATACGGTAGTATGTAAAAGCATTATATAGTAATTGTGTGGTTTGTAATGATTGCACAGTTACTCTTTAAAATTACAAACATATAAATGTTGTTACGGTTGTCATGTATCCTTAGTTTGCCGGTTAAATCGCATTCAAATCGATAGGCCTCTCTTTGTAAAAGTATTTGCATTTGGTGCATGCTTTTTGACAGTGGTTTGTATTTACTCTGCATCTAATCGAGCTTTCATTTATCCACATACTATGCGAGTGGGATTTAATGAACGGTGCAAAGATTATTGGAAACGATGTCTTGTGGAATGCATTCTGAAGATCGAGTCGCCCAACCCGCATTGGCTCAGGAGAACCCGCTGTGATAATGTTCAACACAGAATGAAGTCTCTCCACTGTGAATGTTTTTAATCCTCCAGGGTGCGTGCTAAAGTGGCGTCACGCCTGTGAGAGTGTCACGAGCAGCACGTGAAGACGTCACACGGATACACAGAACTGAGTGGGAATGGTGCATAACTAAATCTTGACTTACAGCTTTCGTGACTGCAGGAATTCATACTCTTTGGGTCTGTTGGTAAAGTCACGTAGAAAAATAAAAATAATAAATCACGACGCTTCGATCGCAACACCAGCAATCGTCTTCAGGTGAAACAACACAGCCGGTGAATTTGCTGAGGCAGGAGAAATATTGCGGAAGAGCTGCTGCAGCAAGAGGTTATGTAGGTTTCATAAGGGTGCAACCCCAGGGTAAGTGGGCAGGGCTAGAGATGGAATTTACATGTGAATGTAAGCTCGGAGAGCCTGCCATTGTATTGCTAGAGATTAGCATGTCAATGTACTGTGACAGACCAGCATGTCAATGTACTGTGACAGACCAGCATGTCAATGTACTGTGACAGACCAGCGTGTCAATGTACTGTGACAGACCAGCATGTCAATGTACTGTGACAGACCAGCATGTCAACGTACTGTGAGAGACCAGCACGTCAATGTACTGTGACAGACCAGCATGTCAATGTACTGTGACAGACCAGCATGTCAATGTACTGTGACAGACCAGCATGTCAATGTACTGTGACAGACCAGCGTGTCAATGTACTGTGACAGACCAGCATGTCAATGTACTGTGACAGACCAGCATGTCAACGTACTGTGAGAGACCAGCACGTCAATGTACTGTGACAGACCAGCATGTCAATGTACTGTGACAGACCAGCACGTCAATGTACTGTGACAGACCAGCACGTCAATGTACTGTGACAGACCAGCACGTCAATGTACTGTGACAGACCAGCATGTCAATGTACTGTGACAGACCAGCATGTCAATGTACTGTGACAGACCAGCATGTCAATGTACTGTGAGAGACCAGCATGTCAACGTACTGTGACAGACCAGCACGTCAATGTACTGTGACAGACCAGCATGTCAATGTACTGTGAAAGACCAGCATGTCAATGTACTGTGACAGACCAGCGTGTCAATGTACTGTGACAGACCAGCACGTCAATGTACTGTGACAGACCAGCATGTCAATGTACTGTGACAGACCAGCACGTCAATGTACTGTGACAGACCAGCACGTCAATGTACTGTGACAGACCAGCATGTCAATGTACTGTGACAGACCAGCACGTCAATGTACTGTGACAGACCAGCGTGTCAATGTACTGTGACAGACCAGCACGTCAATGTACTGTGACAGACCAGCATGTCAATGTACTGTGACAGACCAGCATGTCAATGTACTGTGACAGACCAGCATGTCAATGTACTGTGACAGACCAGCACGTCAATGTACTGTGACAGACCAGCGTGTCAATGTACTGTGACAGACCAGCATGTCAATGTACTGTGACAGACCAGCACGTCAATGTACTGTGACAGACCAGCATGTCAACGTACTGTGAGAGACCAGCACGTCAATGTACTGTGACAGACCAGCATGTCAATGTACTGTGACAGACCAGCATGTCAATGTACTGTGACAGACCAGCACGTCAATGTACTGTGACAGACCAGCACGTCAATGTACTGTGACAGACCAGCATGTCAATGTACTGTGACAGACCAGCATGTCAATGTACTGTGACAGACCAGCATGTCAATGTACTGTGAGAGACCAGCATGTCAACGTACTGTGACAGACCAGCACGTCAATGTACTGTGACAGACCAGCATGTCAATGTACTGTGAGAGACCAGCGTGTCAATGTACTGTGACAGACCAGCATGTCAATGTACTGTGACAGACCAGCATGTCAATGTACTGTGACAGACCAGCACGTCAATGTACTGTGACAGACCAGCACGTCAATGTACTGTGACAGACCAGCATGTCAATGTACTGTGACAGACCAGCATGTCAATGTACTGTGACAGACCAGCATGTCAATGTACTGTGAGAGACCAGCATGTCAACGTACTGTGACAGACCAGCACGTCAATGTACTGTGACAGACCAGCATGTCAATGTACTGTGAGAGACCAGCGTGTCAATGTACTGTGACAGACCAGCATGTCAATGTACTGTGACAGACCAGCATGTCAATGTACTGTGAGAGACCAGCATGTCAATGTACTGTGACAGACCAGCATGTCAATGTACTGTGACAGACCAGCATGTCAATGTACTGTGACAGACCAGCATGTCAATGTACTGTGACAGACCAGCACG